AGAATAACCTGCTTGAGAGCATTGGGCAAGGAGTGACTTGAGCTTTGGTTGAGGCATTCAACACCGGACCAATCAATAAAATCCAGCAGATCAACCTGAAAAATTAAACAAAACAGTCAAATTTAAGACCCTAGATTCAAAATTCTCAATAGACCACGATTAAGAACCCTAGATATTATTCCCATTCAAAAATTAAAAATTCTTATTTTCGATTACAGAAGAAAGAGATCCTCAAAAAAAAATCTAAAAATCTTCGATTATTCACCTGTCCCTTTGGAATTTGGCTGGCTGTTTCGGCGGACATCGTGAGTTTTTTTCTTGCAAAGATATCTCTGAAGATCGAGAAAGTGGAAGAAAGTAAATAGACCGAAGACGAAATAAAAAAGGTTTTTCTCTCTTCTGAGGGTATCTGATACGACGCCGGATAATAAACACTCTTTTCGATTAAGCAGGTTACACCAACCCAATATGAATTTAGAAGTAGAATTCCAATTATACCCCTATACCAACTACAAAACTCGAAAGACTGCCCTTTTTCTTCCTCTTCCACTCAAAAACCCAACCTTATTTTAATTCTTCTCCAACCAGACACATCTCTTCCTTTCTCATCCTCTGCAATGGCTTCCTTATCCTTCGTTTCCTCTTCTCACCTTACTCTGCGCACTCCTTCTCTTACCCTACGTACAGGCTCTTCCTCTTCTTCCCCTCGAACCTCTGTTTCATTTTCCGTCAAGGCTCTATCCGTCGCTCTTTCGCAGGACGATTTGAAGAAGCTCGCGGCGGAGAAGGCGGTGGAGGCGATTAAACCTGGGATGGTTCTAGGTCTTGGAACCGGATCCACCGCAGCCTTCGCCGTCGATCAGATCGGTAAACTCCTCTCCTCCGGCGAGCTCTACGACATCGTTGGCATCCCGACGTCGAAACGAACGGAGGAACAGGCCCGATCGTTGGGGATCCCTCTTGTTGCGCTGGACACGCATCCGAGAATCGATCTCGCTATCGACGGAGCAGACGAGGTGGATCCGAATCTGGATTTGGTCAAAGGTCGAGGCGGTGCTCTTCTCCGGGAGAAAATGGTGGAAGCTGTGGCGGAGAAGTTTATCGTTGTGGCCGACGATACGAAACTCGTTAAGGGACTCGGCGGAAGCGGATTGGCGATGCCTGTGGAGGTGGTTCAGTTCTGCTGGAACTTCAACCTCATCAGATTGCAAGATCTGTTCAAGGAATTTGGATGTGATGCGAAGCTGAGAGTCGACGGAGATGGGAAGCCTTATGTGACGGATAACAGCAATTACATCATCGATTTGTATTTTAAGAATCCGTTGAAGGATGGATTCGCGGCGGCGAAAGAGATCGGGAAGTTTCAGGGAGTGGTGGAGCACGGTCTGTTTCTGGGAATGGCGACGTCAGTAATTATCGCCGGCAAAAACGGCGTTGAAGTTATGAACAAGTGAGGTTTTTAAAATTCAAGTTATTCTCCTTCTTCTTCTTCGTTCAGTGACAATTCTCCTCCTTTGTAAAATTACCAATTGAGTTTTGGAATATATCTGTTGAGATCATTTCAAATAAACTCTTCGATTTCGATTCAGCATCATTTGCATTCAACCATTAAGAACAGAATCAGCAAAACGACGAATCAAATTTGGATCATTTTCGAATTCGAAATGGTCAATTGATCCCTTGACGGCTCCGATCATCGCTCCAGAGATAACCTGACCCAGTGAAGAACGAGAAACTGCGGCGAAGTTGGGTGATCGTAGAGCTTACGGTACAGAAGATTGATTTGCTGGTACGGATTGTACTGACGGTGTTGATCTGTCGTGTTAGGATTCGTCGGATCGAGCATTGTCAGGGGCTTTTGCGTCCTGGTTCGAACATTGAGGCTTAGGGTTTAAGCATAGAGGTCTCTCAGTGGGATGACTCGTGAGCGTTTATAAATTATCAGTGAAGATCATAAAAAAGTAAATACTTTGGGGGCAATTCAAGAATTTTGGAGTCTAATAGGCCTTTTTTGTTATAACCCTTTGGGCTTCAAAATTTTATTCTCGGCTTTTTAAAATTAGGGGCCTTCTTCGTAACCTTTGGGCTTTAAAATTTTAAGATCGGTCGGATAGAGTTTTCTTCCTTCACTTGTGAGTTTCTTTAGTTTCAGCTTCGAGCACAATGAAGAATAGTGAATGGTGTGATTCATGAATCAAAAAATAAAATAATGACATTACAAGAGGCCAATAAGGGTATGCAAATCTATAGATATGTTATATACAAATATATTGGGGGATAAAAAAAAATACATTGTAAACATAATCAGAACTTACCTCAAATCACTCTTCAAAAACTGTATTTATATGTTCTTATAACTCGTTGTGGTTCAATGACTATACCTAAATTAATTTGAAAAGTTACTAAAAAAAATTATTCTTTCAATTTCTTCAATAGTCTCAGAATATGGAGAGTAGGAATATAGAAAGCTGTTAAAAGTATTGCTTACTGAGTTTTGACATTTGTTGAATTACATGAGTTTGGTCACATTAAATGGGTCAAAAAAACTCATCTCAATTCTCAAATTACCCTTCAACAACTATATTTACTTGTCATTATAAGTTGCTGCGGTTCAGTGACTATCACTAAATTTAATTTGAAATTTAACTTTTTGTGTCCACATATGTTCCCTAATGTTTTGCAACTATTTATATTCATTATATCTACCACACCTTTCACATGCTTTATGTGTGTGGTTTTCTCTAATTATAAGGAGTTTCCGATACTAACAAGATTAGCTTAACCGATTCAATATTATTAACTAACTTAGTGAAATTATAGTAAATTCGACTAGAGTACGTTTATGGGATATGTTTTACAGTTTGATTGGATTGAACAATGAACTTTTTGTTTTTGTTTTGATAAAAAAAACCCTGCAATTTGATTGAACAATTCGAAAGTAAATCAAACCGGAACAGTGGATGTTGTTACATCCATGTAAATTGGTGACCTTAAAAAAGAAAAATAGATCTCCCGCTGACGTGATTATGAAAATTTAATATGCTCACGCGGTTTGCCTTTGCCCTAAACTACTAAAGTTCTATTAAATAGTTTCATGGAGAAGGCAAAAGTATAAGTGGGTGTGAAGTAAGGAGAAAAAAGTTGCAAAAACTCATAGCAAAAATTTTAAAATGAATAAAAACAACTATAAATATTTGCATAACGATTTTTATATTGGTGATGAATATACATAGACATGTTTTAGTCGACTAAACTTGTAACAAATCATTTTTTTTCCTCTCGGCCAATAAGTTTGTAGGAAAAAATCTTTCAAAATGTTGTTGGGTGCCACTATGTTAATGTAAATGTCTATGTTCGTGTGCATAATATACGTATATATATACACAAGTCCGTATTTGTATTTAAAAATATAGTTATCGGAACTTAATTAGTTTATAACTTATAAATATAATACTATATGCAAATTTACATGACTCACGCAGGCAGTCATGCCTGTAGTATAGACACCTGATTTCAAAGAGAAGACAAGAAGAAACATGAGTGGATTAGATGGATAAGTATTGTTGTTTTGCGTTATAATGATTTAATTAGAAAGCTTAGACTTAACCGTGAGGTTGACAGTGCCGAAAATTGATTTGCCTAAAGAGAATGACACAATTCACAACGATCCCTTCTTATTTTAATTACAATGCTTACCGTGTTTGACGTGGATGAGTGGATCAAAGCATCAACTATTAGATCAAATCTCTCTCTTTTTCTTCCAATATAATTAATCAGTAATTATTCAAAAAGCTGTACATAGAGAAGCAACAATTAACCAAAAAAAGAAGACTCTAGGTCATAAACGAGCTAGGAACGATGAAGATGGTAATCTTTATTCTAGACATCATATATATTATATACTGATAATGTTAATTTTCTTTCAATCTAAATTTTTTTTTGGTCAACGTCAATCTAAATCTTATATTACCTACTTTTAGGGTTATCTTAGTTATTTTATTTTTAACTTGTATAAAATTTGAAAATTTATCGGAAGTGTGCGACTTATATATAAACTGTATTAGGAATTAAATTTGATACTATTCTCTAGAAAACATAACCATACTACTACGCTGAGCAATTTAAGTAATACTAATATAGAAATGAAAATATCAAACTTTTTCCTATTATTGTTGTTTTATTGTCAACATATTAAAGACATATGAACAGATATAATCTGGCATCTAGAGTTAAACGCAAAGAGAGTTTCAAAGCTAAATCACATGTATAACACATTTAATACTTATATATTGAATATACAGAAATTCAAGACAAGAAATACTAAATTCCAACGTATTGTGTGATACTCAAAAGCTAAAATTAGTCTATACAGATATAGCAAAATAACTCAATAACTTTGAAATAAAAATTTCGTTAACGCATCCTAATCAATTATTGCTAAAAAAAATACTGTTAATAAATCGTAATGCACGAACTACAATAAATAGTATACATTATCCCAAGGCGAACTTGTCATTTTATGCTTTTTTTCTGTTAAAAACTTGAAACAATACAAATAAAAAAAGGAAAGTCACATCATATGGACAAAAGGGTGAATCAGATATTATATTGTAAACATTAAATTATTATTAAAGTATTTTGTTGTCTCAAATTTTATATAAAGGAAATTACAAAGTCTTATTTACTTCCATCAAGCAAAATCTGTCGTTTTCCTCTCAAGAGAGCAGGTCTCATGGCAAACCAGTTTCTTCAGCTTCTTCTTCGTTTTCTCCCAATGCCTCTCATTCACTATCATTGTTCATTCTCCGGAAACGATGCCGTTTTGTAGCTTCCTACACGAAATGCGGAAGCTTCTTTCTCTCAACTTCTTCTTCGTTTTCTTCTTCTAAATCTGCCGATTGAATCTCACAACGACGCCGTTTTAGGTTTGTTACCTGTCTCCCTCTCTCCGTATTTAACTTCCGAACCCAAGTAACCGTTTCTTGTTTCTTTTAGAAATAATGCTGTGTTCTTCGTTGTGTTATCGACTGGCTCAGTTTGATGGGTTGTAAAAATTTTGTGAATACGAGGATAGAAATCTGCAACTTTTCCCAATCATCTCAGAATTTTATTTTTATTTTTCTTACATCACTGGACACACAAAAAAACGTTAGGAATTTCTTAAATCTTGCATGTTTTAAGACGAAAGATTCGATTTTTCTGATTGAATTACCTTAAATTTTCAAAAATCTTACCCCAATAGGCTAATTCGTGTTCGTGTCAAATTAAATTTTAAGTTTGGTGGGTCGGCACGGCAGGGAGATTAGTCACAAAACTTTTGGAAAAATCGAAGAAAGAAAGTTTCACTTTTTTTCCATTTCATTGACTGCTTTTGCTCATTCTATTTGATATATTAGTTATAATGTCCAGAAAGGTACGGTTTGTGTTGCTTACAAGAAACATAATTAAGGATAAACTGATCAATACAATGTTTCTTTTATCTTCATTTGACTTCAGATTCTATAGACGAAATTAAGACAAAGGAGGTGAATATCAGAGTTTATCAATGGAGGACTACGAGGTTCTTGAGCAAATTGGGAAAGGGTCTTTTGGGTCAGCTCTTCTTGTGAGACATAAGCATGAGAAGAAACTGTAAGTACTTAACCTGAAACAGGATCATGTGAATATAGTGGTGTTTTCTGAAATTTGAATTCGCTGTAATGTTCTGCTCTTTCTGCTGTCTAAAGGTATGTTCTGAAGAAAATCCGGCTTGCTCGGCAGACTGGTAGGACAAGAAGATCTGCTCATCAAGAGGTTGTTTAAAATCCCTTTTGTGTTCTGAGATATTTACATTCATTTACGCTTTCTCGACTCCAGTATGCAAATTCCAGATATTTAGATCAAATGCAGCTCCTTTTGTCACTTGAAAGGATTTAAGTATAGACAATGGCCTTGATCTTGCTTTTGTTGGTTAATGTCGATAGTCTTTCGGATATGCCGTTATGGATCATACAGTATTCTTGAGCTATAGACTTTTGTTCTGTAGACTAACAATCTTCCTGTTAACTCATTGTAGATGGAGTTGATTTCAAAGATAAATAATCCATTCATTGTGGAATATAAAGATTCTTGGGTCGAAAAGGTATCATCTATACATATCTTTTCGTTTCTTGAATAAAGTATTTGAAAATGTAACCAGCTCTATGGTCTGTGGATGTGTGCTATTAGGGTTGCTATGTCTGCATTATCATAGGCTATTGCAAAGGAGGAGACATGTAAGCTTATTCCATCTCAGCAGCTTTCCCCTGTTCTTGACTCGCGACGAGGCTCTTTGAAAGAGTTACTGACTTTTCTGCTTCTTCTGCTTTACAGGGCGGAAGCGATAAAGAAAACAAATGGTGTGCACTTCTCTGAAGAGGTTTGTGCATAGACAAGTTTGATTGATTCTAGCCATTGATACAAAATTTCTAAGTCTCTCAGAGTTTTTTTTTTGTTTGGTTATCAGAAACTCTGCAAATGGCTTGTTCAGCTCTTGATGGCTCTTGAATACTTGCATGCCAATCACATTCTCCATCGCGATGTCAAGGTTGGTTATGATGTTACTTCTCAGGACCAACACAGTTTATAGAAAAATCCTCCATACTGATACTAAACTAACTGATTTTATCCACCCAGTGCTCAAACATATTCTTGACAAAGGATCAAGATATACGTCTAGGTGAGATGCTTGGCAAATTTGTGGCACTTATATCATTTTCCTAATCAGCCTAACACAACACCAGCCAGAATGTAACGAATCGGTTTTCTTATATTCGCAGGCGATTTCGGACTTGCCAAGGTCTTAACATCAGATGACCTCGCATCTTCAGTAAGTATAGTTTCCTTGACTCTTTCTTTTCACATACGGATTTGTTCTGGACTCAGGTTTGATCGTTACCCTTCTTCAAAAACCAGGTGGTTGGAACGCCAAGCTACATGTGCCCCGAGCTACTAGCGGATATACCTTATGGGTCCAAGTCTGATATTTGGTCGCTTGGCAAGTTTCTCATCCTGCCATGGCTAAGATTTTTAACTTTTAGCTCTAGATAACGAAAAAAGTATATTCATCTGAATCTTTGTCTTCTTTTCTTCAGGATGTTGTATGTATGAGATGACGGCCATGAAACCCGCATTCAAAGCTTTTGTAATCTTTGAAACCAACATTTACATTCCTCCGGGTTATGTTCATCAGAAGTTTCTGACTGTTGTTGGCGTCTGAAATTGTTGCAGGACATGCAAGGACTAATAAACAGGATTAACAGATCAATCGTTCCTCCACTTCCGGCGCAATATTCTGCTGCCTTGTAAGTGTCTGTATAATCTTGTTTGTCTCGATGTGAGATCAATTAGAAATTTAGAATTCACTGATTTATCATTTATGCAATTGCTTTCTTCAGCCGGGGTCTTGTTAAGAGCATGCTCAGAAAAAATCCAGAACTCAGACCAAGCGTACGTCTTATGATTCTGTTCTTTGATATATGATGATCATAGCCTGAAACTGAACAAACTTGACCAGTAAACATCATATTCTTTTTTCTGTTTAGGCTGCTGAGCTTCTCAGTCAACCGCTGCTACAGCCGTATATCCAGAAGATTAATCTGAAGGTGAATGATCCAGGGAAAAACGTGTTGCCTGCGCAATGGCCAGAATCTGAATCCGCCAGGAGAAACAGCTTTCCTGAGCAGAGAAGGCGTCCTCCAGGCAAAAGCCATAGCTTCGGTCCAAGCAGGTTTAGGGGCAACCAGGAAGATTCTGTTTCTTCTATAAAGAAACCTGTGCCCGCGTATCTGACCCGTGAAAGGCAAGTGGATTTGTCTACAGATGATAGCGGTGATGGAACGGTTGTTCGTAGAAGAACCTCAGAGGCTTCTAAGAGTTCTAGGTATGTTCCAGTGAGAGCTTCGGCTTCACCTGTGAGATCAAGACAGCCTAGGAGTGACCGTGGTCAAGTACGTGATCCATTCTTCAAAGCTCTTCGTTACTGATTGCTTTGTCGGATTAAAGAACGCTTGTTTCCATAATGTTTTTGCAGCTTCCTGTTTCATCACAGCATACGAACCGAAAATCAGCGGCTTTGATTCGTAGAGCCTCCATGCCTAGCTCAAGAAAACCTGCTAGAGAAGTCAAAGACTGTCTGTACAACTCGAAAACCAGTATTCTCCACCAGCTTAAATCTCCTGATGTGTCAATGAACGCGCCAAGAATTGACAAGATTGAGTTTCCGCTAGCTTCATATGAGGAAGAGCCATTTGTTCCGGTTGTGCGTGGGAAGAAGAAGAAAGCATCGTCTAGAGGCTCCTACAGCCCACCTCCAGAGCCACCACTGGACTGCTCAATCACAAAAGACAAATTTACCCTTGAACCAGGCCAAAACGTGGAAGGGGCGATTATGAAGGCGGTGTATCAGTACGAAGATGCATACCCAGAAAACAGGAGCGAATCATCTGATCAGAATGCAACTGCTGGAGCATCAAGCAGGGCTTCGTCGGGTATAAGGAGACAAAGATTTGATCCTAGTTCTTATCAGCAACGTGCGGAGGCATTGGAGGGATTGCTTGAATTTAGTGCAAGATTGCTTCAAGATGAGAGGTACGATGAGCTGAATGTCTTGCTGAGACCCTTTGGTCCAGGCAAAGTCTCGCCGAGAGAGACAGCGATTTGGTTGTCCAAGAGCTTCAAGGAAACTACTAAGCTGGAAGATTGAGAAACGGATGGATCATTCTAATTCTAACCTGTTGTGACGTGAAAGAAAACTTCCACTTTTGACAGTTAATTGATCAGAAGATGTCCGGAAAATTGTTTCAAAAGTTAACTACTTAGGCTGTGTTCTTTAACGAGTAGCTTAACCTCTCTGTATCTGATACATTGAAACTCAAGAAAAGAGTGGCCGGTTACCAAATCACAACTTGTTTTGCCTGTTTGAGGTTGTTTTCAGTCAAGCACAAATACATAAACATATTTTAATCAGACAAACCAAATCCTGAAATAGACCTCACAGCATCTGAAACAGAGTAATATCATATAGCCAGCAAAAATGTTGAGCAAGTGGCTTATACGCAGTGTGTGTGCTAGTCAGGGCGAGTGGATGTTAATCACTAGTTTAGAGTCTTGTGATATGCAACCTGCAAGTAATCCCCCATAAAAGCACTACTCAGATTCTGAGAAATATAATGTTTCGACTTACATTTGTACACTTTAGTATCAAATGTAGAGAATATATATGAAAAAGAAGTTTGATTACTTACAGAAGTTGACGTCTTTAACAGCTCTCTGACTGCCATTGTTGCATAACAAGAAGATGGAAGAGTGAGAGCCATTTTGAGCGCCAACTGCGTCTGCTCAGAATCTTGGTTGCCATCGGATTTCATCGATTCGGCAGATTCAACCTTACTCATCGGCGTTTCCGCGGTAATCCTGTCCAGATCCGTCTCTGCCAATGGTTTATTGCTGTCAGTGTAAGTCAGTAATTCCCTGCAGCATTTACCCACAAAATTAGTCTCTGCCTCCATTCAATCTTTTTGATCACAAATATGGAGCAAGTTTTAACACAAAGCGTACCACTCAAAGTCGATTGGTTTCTGGAAAACACGTCTGTAACCACCAGTCATGCTAGTTATTGAGAACTCCCTGAAAAAAAAAAACTTGTTATTAGTAGAATAAAAGTATATGCTCGTGGTGATGCAGAGTGACACAAGCATAAGTTTCTACAAGAAAAAAAAAGAGAATAAGGGATTTACTTTACACCGTGAATACTCTCAGTTAGGCTGATACCGTCCTGAGCAATGCAAGCAGAAATTTATAGAATTTAATCAGCAAATATGAGAAGTTTCAGAAAGTATACACTGAGAAAAAGAAAGTTTTAAGTTGTCTAGAACAAACAGGGAGTGTTTGATTATAGTTTAACAAACCTTCTTTGCCAAATCATGGAAAATTTCAGCAATGTCATTGGACGGGTAAATGACTCTTGAACTGTTGAAGCAAAGAGAAAGGTCTTCAGGATTCAAAAAGTACAGTGTTCAATCCACTTCTATTGGAAATTTCTGCCAGCAACTTACCCAGGTAGAGGAAGGACGATGTCACTAGTCGAGTAAGTTCCAGCTTTCATATCCTCTATATCTACAACCTGAAGAACACAAAAGAAAGCAGTATAAATAATGCTAGTACTAACAAATACCAACGAAAGCGTAACTATGTTAAAGCATATATTTGAGTGCGAAAAAAGACATTGCAGAAATCTCATTTCACAAACCCAAAGTTCCATTTGCTCATCATAATCTGAAGGTATTTTCACACAAGATGACGGACGGCCTAAAAAGAAGTCCGAGACAAGAAATTAACCTTAACAAGGTCACTCCTTTCTCCTGGAAGATCAACAACAGCAGTATCATCTAGCTGGTCACAATCCAATGCCTCTTCGTTGTTTTCCTTGTGCTCAGAGGTCAAACTGCTGACAATTCTTTTTGCATCATCTACCTTTGTACTCACCAAGTCACCCACCACAACTTGGTTGGTCCCTGCCACACCACATAAACCAGTGGGTGAAAGTTAATAACCTTCATTGACAAGCACACATAACAGCCCAAGAGTTATTAAGAAAGATAACTGATGTACCGTATTTTTGGACGCGCAGACTTGCCGCATTGTTCCATAAGTAGCTTTGGTAACTATGTACATACCTGTATAATAAGGATCACATATACAGTAAGCTAATGAACTTGATTCTTATATCCCAGGAAGCTGTTCCAGAAGAAACTAAAAGCTATATTATTAAAACCAGATTCTTACATCATTCTCAATGTTCTGGGTATGCCTTTCAGAGCTTGCAGGTAGTTCCCAGGACATTTCTTCAGACACTGCAGCTGTTTTAAAACGTCCAAGATTAAAACTGATTATTAAGGAAATCCACTAATGGCAGAAACCGATACAGGAGTAGCTGAATACTTACAATGGCTCTTTCAGCAACGAGGTATCGCGGTAGCTGCCTTAGAGTCCCGTCAATGTCGCCAGTCTCTTTGTAATATCCTCGGGCCTCGTTTACTACATTCCTTTGTGGAAAAAAGCTCAAAGTCAAGAAAAACAAGGCAGTGCTGCACTTTTAAATATTCGTAGAGCCACTAATTTGATTTTAACAGGTATAAGCAATTGTAGCTAGAAACTAAGTCATGTTAACGGATATCACTTTCTCTTGGATCAAGAATCATGTCTACGGCATCTTTCCACTCTCCTTTCAATAGTGCGGCTCCAACATGGTGGGTTGGTACTGAGCCACTTCCAAAACGCTGTCATAACAAAACTTATAAGAAAATGCTTTATACTAAAATGCACATATATCATTACAATTCAACGAGAGAATAATACCTGCAAGCCAAAGTAGTTGATGAAGCCATCTTTCCCCAAGGATTCTGCAGACTTTTTAATAGTTTCTTCAGAATTCGCAACCACTCCTCTGAAAGAATGGGAATTTTAAATATATAAGGACAGTCCATGCGCAAGAAGAAATTTTCATCAATTTTCACCAAAAAGTTGATCAAGCATTTTCTTTGAAAATAGAATTTGGAAGTTACAAATGGTTCATAAGAGTTTCTTTTTTACATGTCCGGTTACATTCTCACCTTAGGGTGATGGTAAATCTGTTTCCCATGAGCTGCCCAAGAAGAAGGCCCTCTTTAACATGGCTGGAAAGCGCCAGCAATCATCCATCATTACCAATAAGGCCACAAAAAAGGGTAAAAAATTCAAACATTCAAGAATATGTTGGCTTACCAGAAGTCACCAACTTTGATCCCAAATAATCTCTTGTTTAGCGCAGCCAATTTGCTAGGTTGCTGTTTGAACACAGTTACCTAAAAGCCCACACAATCTCCTGTTATGTATTGTAACAATCAAACTCATCTTACCAAAAAAGCAGGTACAACTAACTTACACGCTGAGTTGAAACTGACCGCTTATCTTTTGTTCCAGAGAAGCCGAAGGACTTTGGCTAAAAATATTGAAGAAGCAGTTCAAGACATTATCAAGGAAAGTGCAATGGTAGAGATGAATAATCTATATCACGATGGAAGAAGAAGGGAAACACCTGAACGCCTAGCATCTTTCCGATCAATCCCAAGGCCTCTTGTGTATCTTTGTTCTCCTTGTAAAGATGGAACCTATAAAATTCAAGTGACACATATGTTGCAGTTCAAATGTAATGATTCAAATCAAGTACACATGAAATTATATACCAGATGTAAGTTGTTTTCTAGTTATTACTTGAGAAACTTGCCAACATGCTCTGGCCAATGTTCTGAACCTCTGCTATCAAAAGGCTTATCGCCTCTTTCCTTCCGCTTTTTCGATCTTTTACCTCTGCTGTTAAGGTCACGTGAATTCCCTCGCACGCGAATGCATTTTGAAGTAGGACCAGGACCATCTACAGTGTCGGTAACTAGGAACTTGAAATTTTCTTTAACAAAGTTGTGGATAGCCTGGATAGTACAGTATAATTAGTTTAAAAAACTCTCATAGAATGTTCAAAGATATAATGTCGATAAAATGATATGTAATAAAGCAATCAATCGATCCCATACCGTTCTCTTGGACTTGTCAGAACTTGGATCAAGAACAATTGGTGAGATCTCATCATCAGTTCCTGAGGTGACTTGATTAATCAAAGTTTCCAAACGCTCTGCATCAGCGACACTGGAAATTGATCTGAACGACTCAATTGCAGAAGCGTAGCTTTGAGGTGCATCATCTGAACTTTTCGTTTTCTCTTCCTCCTTCACATCCTTAAACAGATGAACAACATCGCATCAGACAAAAAAAAAAAAAAAAAAAAACATGAAATCGAAACAAATCCATCAAGTGAACTGGAATGAGGTTAGTTTGAATCAAAGTAGAGACAAACCATCTCAGGAGAGACGTCCAAGGATGTCAAACGAACTACATTGCCATCCATATCCACTTCATTAACGATAAAGTCTGCGTATCTATAAAACACAAATACAAACAAATCAATCAATTTTTATCCAATTTATCTATGATCTTCACCCAGAAAGAAAATAGCATACGGTATGTGTATCAGTTCACAAGACAACAGATCACAAAAATACCAAAGAATTTCAAATTTTCACAAAGGTTGCATCTTTTGGATCCATATGTTAACCATAAAGTAAATTTAAGAACTAACCACATCAAGTATCATTCTTTAACCAAAATTAAACTCTATGAAAGAGTCACCAAGTTCACAGAAATTATCGAATCACCTAAGCTCTATCAATGTTCTCCATTATCACAACCTAAGAAAAGGTTACTTTCATTACATGGCTATTTAAAACAATACAATTTGTCTATAAGAGCAAGCATAGAAAATATTTCATAATCGTATGACCTTTGTTTGAGGATACCGCGAAAGCCCGGGAGCTGGGAGATGAAACAGGAGATGCCCACGTCAGATTCATCTACGGTTTTCATGCCATCAAGGGTTTTAGCTGTCGTCGCCATTGTCGTTGTCAAGTGAAAGCTCGAGTAGGGTTTTAGCAGAGACAACAAACAAGACGATACAGTTTTGTTTAGTCTCATTGCCTGCATCCGGGAAAGGGCAAAGTCAAATGAAATCGAATGCTTTTCTAAAACGCACCGTTTCGGCTTTTACCGGTTATTGAGCTTCAATCTCTCCGAACCGATAAATGTTCTTAAACCAATGAATCAAATACTCCGTCAAAAACGCAGCGTTTTCCACCATCATTGACTTGAGCTGAGCCGGTTTTGAATCCCACCGAACCGACTACGCACTAAACCAGTTTGGTAACAATCAATCGAATGTTTCGTTGAGCAGATCCGATGACGCTAACCAGATCGGCACGAAAATTAAACCGAACCGGATCAATTGATTGTCTTCTTTGTAGAAAAGCGACTTTCCTGATCGACCTTCCACTAACAGATCCACAAGTTTTAAAGGCACAGAGCAAATCGGTGTGTCTATAGAGAGAGAGAGAGATGGTGACGAAAACGGAGGAGGCAGAGTTGAACCAACTCGAGAATCAAGTTGAGAATGGAGGAGGAGGGGTTTGGGAGTATCTGTGCCTCGTTCGTAAGCTCAAGCTTCGCCGATCAGAGATTGTGCTGAAGCACGGTCTCTCCATCTTGAACGATCGGGGAAAGCGATCCGCACTTGGTCCAGATGGTTTGTTAATTCTGAGTTCCTTATTAACTTTTATAGTTTGTTAATGTGCTTCTCATTGAGGATTGAGTGTGTTTGTTGATTTGAACGAAATTTTTTGAATTGGATTCGAATGGAATTGTTCTAATGGGTTCTTTTCGTTGCATCCTGGATTCGGGTTTTCCTAATATCGGTTGAAGTTCAAGTATTTGGATTTGATTTAATGCTTTTGCTGCTTCTACTTCCATTTCCTAGTGAGACCTATATTTGTGTGATATCTGTTATCCTCAGATTCATTTGCTCGCTGTTTCATCGCTACTTGTGAAATTGAGCAACAAAGACTTTTCTTTCAGAAGAACCCATTTCGATTGAATTTTGTTTTCTTTATACATGTAATGTCTATGCCAATCTGTTTTGCTTTGTGCTCTCTATGGAACATTTGATATCTTTGGCATGTCATATCTCTTCCAGTCTGGTTCGATTTTTGTTGTTGTTGTCTTAGCTAATTAGTGTTTAATTTTACACACACTAATTGTGGAAATGCAATAAAAGTGCTGCTTGCACACTATGTTTCATAAACTTAAAGAGCAAATTATTTTCCCATTTTTGTGTGCAGAATGGACCCTATATGAGCAGGTAGCAATTGCAGCTATGGACTGTCAATCTCTTGGTGTTGCACAGGTGAGTTGCCTTTACTCTACCTTGAGAGTGATCCTATATCTGATCACGCTTTGTTGTTAACTTAAATCAGTTATTTAGGGTTGTGTGTGTCTGCTATTTCTAAGGTTTTAAGCGTCTTTACCAAAATTTTCTTGCATAGAGGTATCTTGTAAATATCATGGATGCATTGTGATCTGAGTTGTTTTCCGAAAATAAAGGAAGTTTAAATTCTGGTTCCAAATTGTTCTTCGCTTATCTGCACTTTATCAACCCTGCTCAAGACAATTTGGATATCTCACAAAAGGGAGAACTTTGTAATTTTTCAGAATTGCATCAAGTGTCTGCAGAAGAAATTTCCAGAGAGCAAACGTGTTGGTAAGTCAATATCAACCTTTGAGAAACTGAGCGAGTTTTTTCACTCTTGCTGAACTTCATAATTTGCTCGCATCCACTCTCTAGGCTTCTAATATAAACCATTAACCCACCTTTTTCTCCCATTTCGTTCTCACAAATAATAAGAATTTATCACATTTGAAGTATACTAGCATAGTCAAGCTAAATTCACATGGTCTAAATTTGTAACTTTTGTTTATTCATCTGTCCTTACACACAAGGTTTTGTCTGTGCTCTGATGTAATCTACTCAGACTGAAAGTTGGGCTCTGCAGGCATCTCGTTTCTTAGTTTACATCGATCCCAATTTGAGCTGCATCTTGGTAATATGTTTCAGGCAAGCTGGAGGCATTGCTACTAGAAGCAAAGGGAATGTGGGAGGAGGCTGAGAAAGCATATTCGAGCCTTTTGGAGGATAATCCACTCGATCAAGTAAGTTTACACATCTTTGCTTCATGAAACTACCCACAAGCTGCTTCCAGATGTCAAGTGTTGTAACTAAAACTCGAATTCTAGATAATACACAAAAGAAAGGTGGCTATGGCAAAGGCACAGGGCAAACCTTCCTTAGCCATTGAACATCTTAACAAATACCTTGAAGTGTGAGTACTTACTAACCCCAAGCTGGATTAATCGAAGTATATTAGAAGAAACATACCACAGCTGATGACCTTTATATGCTCTTCTTTCGTTATGTAGATTCATGGCTGATCATGATGCCTGGAGAGAACTTGCAGAAATTTATGTTTCCTTGCAAATGTGCGCCTCTTTATTCTCTGCCCTCGACTCTTTTTGACAAACAATTCACTAAACAACACTTAAACAGTTGTTTTTCATTTTTGGGGATTTTCTCTTTTTTTGCAACCCAATCTAACATTATAATCTGTAACAGGTACAAACAAGCAGCTTTCTGCTACGAGGAGCTCATCTTAGCCCAGCCTACTCTTCCATTGTACCACTTAGCATATGCCGATGTAAGTCCATCTATTGTTTCGTTTTCTTAAAAAAGTCATGTTGTTCATTCATATGTGTAAGTCATGAAGCAGCAATATTAGAGTGAACTATTATATGAACCTTTGAGCATTATTCAGACAGAACATATCAAATGCAAAACTCGGGATCCAAAATTTTGAAAAACTCTAAATTACCGCCGTGGTCATGTTTGATTCTGGTATAATGCTGTTACTAACTGAAATATTCATAATCCCCAAAATCAGGTTCTCTACACAATTGGTGGACTTGAAAACCTCATCGCAGCAAGAAAGTATTATGCAGCAACGATAGACTTAACAGGTGGTAAAAGCACAAGAGCTCTTCTCGGAATATGCTTGGTAAGATCCCATTTCTTCCTCACACCGGTTTAATCCACTTTGGTTTGCAAGTGACATAGTTTAAACTGATTCATCGTTCTGAAATCAGTGTGGATCAGCGATCGCACAGCTCTCAAAAGGCAGGAACAAAGAGGACAAGGACATGGCTGCACCAGAGCTTCAGTCTTTGGCTGCAACTGCACTGGAGAAAGAGTACAAGCAAAAAGCTCCGGCCAAACTCAACCTCCTCTCTTCTGCGTTAAGAAGCTTGAAACTCTCTTAAGTTAAGAGACCACAAGAGGACTAGTGCGGGTTTCACTTTTTTTGGTTTAAGCTTTTTACTGTCAGACTTTTGTTCACTCGTTTCGTTTTCCGCTTATAGTTTTGTTCCTTTCGAAACTTGGTTATATATTGACTCACTGATACGGTTTACTAAAGGTATTTAATCAAGAGAAAATAAACTTGGCAAAGAATGTGAAATTTAAGCAGTAACTATACACTACACAGCAAATCATACGAACCCAAAACGGATGACATATTCACTAATTTATGAAATACAACTTATTTTATTGCTGGTTTATTTTTTTTTTTCACATTGTAACCAAAGTTTGAAAGTTTTACTAGCGCAAAACTTATTCATTTTAGAGATCGAGTTCAGACAAAATTACAGATTGGACACCCAAGTGGGCCATTCTATGAAAGTAAATATACATTTTTTGTGGGCTTAGCTAAATAAATAATATGAGTACTTTCAGTTAAAAGCCCAAAGATTTGTTTCATCGTGTGAAGCTCAAAACCCTAGATGTGGGTTTAAATTTAACAAGCGCCGTAGCATTAGGTTAAATATCTTCTCTTCTTCCTTCTCTGTTCGTCGTCGACCTATTATCCTCAGCCATGGCCGTCGGGTACTATTCTCTTGATTTTACTCCTTTCTACTTTCTGTTTATATCTTGAGGTTGTTCATTACTGATGTACGAGTTTTCCTGTACTTGCGTTGTAGGAAAAACAAGAGAATCTCTAAGGGTAGGAAAGGAGGAAAGAAGAAGATGTAAGTATTGTAAATCTCAGTCCTCATATTTTGTCTTACATTTAATGTGTATGCATTAGTAGACTCAAGTATTCGAGTATGAATCTTCGAATTGATGGTTGTTTATAATCGATGACGCAGTGTTGATCCTTTCTCCAAGAAGGACTGGTATGATGTTAAGGCTCCTTCAATGTTCACCCACAGAAATGTGGGCAAGACACTTGTTTCCAGAACGCAGGGTACCAAGGTAATTTTTCTGCTTCTCTTACAAACTCGTTAGTTCCATTTTGCTGTGTTGGTAGATTCATTGTATGATTAGTTGATTTCTCGGAATTGATTGAGGCTATTTTAGATTTTGAGTAAACTAGCGCAATCACTAAAATGGTTCTATGATTTTAATTGTTTCAGATGTTAATTGTCATTTTGTAGAATTATCGAATTTAAGAGTTTGATGTTGAGAGACCGATGATCCTCGTGTGATCTAACACTATTATGTGTCTTTTCCAAACATATCAGATTGCTTCAGAGGGGCTGAAACACAGAGTTTTCGAGGTTTCTCTTGCTGATCTTCAGAATGATGAGGACAATGCATTCAGGAAGATCCGTCTCAGAGCTGAAGATGTCCAGGGACGAAATGTTTTGTGCCAATTCTGGGTAAGGACACGTATTGATCCTCAACAGTTGTCTTTCTTCTGGTTTCTCTTATTTTTCTTCGATGAGATGATTCCTGAGTATATGGCTGTTTTGATCTGTAGGGCATGGACTTCACAACCGACAAGCTCAGGTCGTTGGTTAAAAAGTGGCAGACATTGATCGAGGCTCATGTTGATGTTAAAACCACCGACAACTTCACTCTGAGGCTTTTCTGCATCGCCTTCACCAAGAGACGTGCGAACCAGGTCAAGAGAACTTGCTACGCTCAATCCAGCCAAATCCGTCAGGTAAACACATACCATGTTGAGTCAAGCCTTGTCTTTGTTGATGATTCTCGGTTAAAATCAACTTTATCTATAATTCACCTGTCTTTTTTTCTTGGGGGAATTCATTAGATTCGCTTGAAGATGAGGGAAATCATGATCAAGGAAGCTTCGTCTTGTGACCTTAAGGAGCTTGTTGCCAAGTTCATCCCCGAGTCTATTGGCAGAGAGATTGAGAAAGTAACTCAGGGCATATACCCTCTTCAGAATGTTTTCATCCGTAAAGTCAAGATCCTCAAGTCTCCCAAATTCGACCTTGGAAAGCTCATGGAGGTGAAGAGAAAATATATACCCTTATGTTTTGATTTTATCTAACTAATTTTCGGATATAAATTAATAGAATACTTGTGTTTGAAATTGTGAAGGTTCACGGCGATTACACAGCAGAGGATGTTGGTGTGAAGGTAGATAGGCCCGCCGAAGAGACCGTTGTCGAGGATCCTTCAGAAGTCATTGGAGCTTAAGAGAAGTTTTTGAAGAAATGTTTAAAATTGAGAGAGATCGTATTTTCTTCTGAACGTTAGCTTTTTACTGCTTTGTGTCGTTTCACACTCGCTTGGTTCCTCAAGTTTTTCTTTTTGGTGTATTGATGACTTTTCTCAATTGTAAACTCGCGAGTTTTTGATAATTTATGGAATACCTTCTTCTCGGAAGTTTGAGAGTTAATTCGGTTACTAAACAATTTGTCTCGTAAGGATCGTTTTCTTCAATTTGTAAGAGAGAAAATAAGAAGTTGCTTCAGCATGTGAAAAGAAGAGACCAATGGAAAACAACAATTCTTCTATTTACTTGGATCAAAGGCCAAGAGATGGCTTCTTTATATCATGAATCTGATTTGTACAGTTTTGTTTTGACGAAAAAAATCAAGAAGCAGAAAAGAAGAGACAAGTAGTGAAACAACCATTACAAACCTGAAACCTTTCTTCAGTAAAAAAACACACTAGAAATTTCAAAACAAGAGCAGAGTAAAACACAGACATACACATTCGTCCTAAGCAAAAATCTTTCCATATGTATCTTATTATATATCTACCAAACTACAGACTTGCTTTAGAAATAACCACCATGATCTTTAGCTTCCTCCTTGATTGCAACAGCATCAGATTCTACCGCGCAAGGATACTGGAGTTGCTCTGAGAAGAAATTTCAAACAATCTTAGATAATCTTAAACTAGAATGAGAAAGGGGCATTTATATCTAAAGGCTTACCATTTGCGTGACCAAATATATTCATGCATCCTATGCATCTGCAGCTCGAGGAGCATCCAACGCCCATCTTGATAAAGTCATTTTAATATCCATTGGTTAAGAAGAGTATAAAGGGACATTATTCAAACGAAGAGTGAACAAAGCTAGATAAGTGAAACCAAACTTACTAAATAGCATTCACAATATTTCTTTAAGCAGCCCGATTTTCTGCAGTTGCATCCTCTCTTATGTCTTGCTGAGGCAGGAGTTTTGCTGTTCTCCTCCTACATTTGTATTATAAATATGAGATATCAATTCATGACAAGTTTGTAGAATCAATTTTTATTCTTTATGAATTTGAGCTAATTGTTGATCTCATGATATGTCTTACCCTGAACTCTGTAGCAGAATCAGATGTCGAGACCAATTTTGGAGCAAAAGCAAATGGGTTGCGAGCTTCAATATCTCGACGACTTTTCAAAACAATGGCTTCATGAATTGGTCTATTGAAACAATTTTCACAAGAACAAGGTTCAACACAGTATAGACCAGCAGCAAAACAGTCGCAGTAGCTGTAACAGATGAAGCAAAAGATATCAGGTGTGATATGGAAGGTAACTTTGGAAAAAGCAGTAAATGACATTTAAAAATTGTGTGAGAAAAATGATGGTAAGAAAAGAACTTACAGCTTCAAGCATTTGGATTTCCTACATTTACAGTTTTTACAGCTTCCAACTTCCGTGAACCTTTCTCCTTCCATAGATCTCTCAGGAGCCTCCTCCACGATTTTGTTATCAAAGGGAACCAAATCTCTGTTAGTGTTAACAGGAGTTGAGCATTCCTCTTCTCCATGAGATAAAACACAGCCATCTTTGGTGACTAATTTGGTTCGGTCATTCGAGACTGAGGTCTTCACGAGACCATTCAAGTGCAGGCCACCCGTTCGTGGTATGGGTAGAACCTCATCAGTATCTTGTTTGCTGGAGTCTAAACGCTTATGAGGACTAGGAGCTCTGTTGATAGATGTAAAATCAAGAGGAATGTCGTTTGTGGAATCACGCAAAGGTACCCTTTTGGAGGATCCTCCCACGTCAAAAGTCAAGCAGCGCCTGCGTACACTCCGTTGCTGCAAGAGTCAATTCATAGTTATTAGCAAAGTTCAATTCATGCTCAAAAAAACATTTACAAGAAGATGAAAAATAATTCAAGTTGCAATACGACTACAAGTCATATATCACTCAAAAAGATAAGGAATGAAAGAAATGTAGCTGTTGACGTTGATAAAGTATCAAAATGTGTACAACTAAAAACAAAATATCAACTTAAACGCATGACCAAAGCTTACACAACCTGAATGACTTCAGTGTATACATGAGTTATGAGAAGGTCTGAGAAGACAATTTACCTTGAGACTGGGTTTTGGTCCTGTTTCTTCCTTGTCTTCAGCTTTAGCTGCAACGTTGGATGAACTGCTGAGAGTGATGTCTGGAACTCTAGCTGCAACTTGCACACTGCAAGAACCTCCAGGCTCTACTACATCCCCTGAGTTATTACAGCAGACCGAAGTATAAGAATTAAATCTAGGATCCTCGGCCTGTGGAATCTCTTGCTCACGGTTCTGGATACAAGCAATATCAAACACTTTTACTCCTACACCAGACCCAATCTCAGCGTCCATATCTTCGGTTTGAAGAACCCCATCTGAGTCAGCGTCAAGTTCTTTATCCTGTCTACATAACCCATCAGATAGCTTTCTCGATCCGACTCCTCCTATTTCATTTTGAGCATCCATTGGTACTACTACTTCATCACAAGAAACCATTGGAACATCGCATCCATCGTTTCCATTGGTCAATGAATTCGCCAGCTCAATTGCTAAGCTAACCTGCTCCTTAAATCGCTTGGTTTCAGAAACATTTGACAACTGCTCAGGTCTACTACACTTTAGCTGCTCCTCACATAGACCGGATCTCTTAACATCTGGTGGGCTTTTTAGAGCATCACCAAGGAGGTTCACTGGACTAGATAGCCTAAAGAAGGAACATAACCAACAATGTCAGCATATTTTAAAAAAACCCATCAACAAATGATTCTCCTGTCAACAAAACAAGTAAAAGAGAGAAAAACAGGTTACCTTTTGATGGAAAATCTGGAATCTCGGTAAGAGTTCATTTGCGGCGAAGTAAATAGAGACGATGGAGACGCGAAAGCCAATGAGTGCAAGATATTATCAGCGTGTTCTGCCTTCACTGGCTCTATGGGGGATAGGCCATTGATATATTGAAAAACTGGAGAATCCTGCAGATTAACGGATTCAACGCAGAAAGGTGAACAAATTTGAAGACCCACATCGCCGGAGAACACAGAGGGGAGAAAACTCCAATTGACTCAAATAGTTGAAAATTAAGCCAAACGAGGACGATTGAAATCTAATTCAACCCTAAGAATCGTATAAATTAGAGAGACCGAGCAGTAATTGGTGTGATGAACGAAGGGCTAATTCAGGAAACATTTACATAGAAAATCAACTCTGGGAACCTTGATAAAATCTGAGGGAATAGAAATCTAAAGTAGGAAGAGAATATCCAATAACTAAAAAATTAGGATCGAGAGAAAACCTCAAAGTTGCAGAAGGAAACGGCGGAGATGCGGTTCTTGTCTGGTGTGTCCATCTTCAGCGAGGTGTTTTTTTCACTGGGTCGTGCTCCGCATAGATAAACCTGTGAGTCCTCCGTACCCAAGCAACGAAGCCCTAAGAAGAAGAAGGAGAGAAGAAGAAAGTCGACTGGGTTACTGAAGAAGAAAAGAAGGTGGAGATTTCAATGGAGGAGGAGCGGGAAAGATGAGGGAAAAAAAAATTAATAATGTCGAAAAGCAGTGGTTTGGTTTCTCTTGAAATCCATTATTTTTAATTAGTGTATACTGAAAGCGAGAACATAACTGGACCCATGGGCCTTTTAGTTGAGACCTTCTTAAACCCTTATGGGCCTGATAAGAAACTAGTTTATCGATTACTTTTAAGATGTTTTTAAAAAGTTATAAATTACAAATATTTTATCAGTGATGTAGAAATTAAAGTGATGTTCGAGTAATACTATATTTTCTGATTGTTTTTGGGGAGGTCATTTGAGATTTTCTAAATTAGTATTACTGATGTTTTTACTGGATGGGCCCATTACCCACGGGGACAATAATATATATATATATATGAAAGAAAAAACTTATTAATCAAAACAACAAAACCCGAAAACAAAATTGTCCAAACCGGGTTCCGGTAAGGTACGTAGGGTGGGGTCCAGGTGGCATGGTCTAGGAAACTGATGCTGCTGTATGGCCATGGCATTATTATTACAGAGCAAGACAGAAAGGCAAACATGTGATGATTCCACAAAGACCCAAAAGAAAAATTGTTGAAGCCATAGGAAGCATCATAAAGGACACATCTATGTCTCTCTTTCTCCCTAGACTTTTCAAGATTCCCCACAGACAAAAAGAGCCAAAAAGAGAGAAGTGATCGAACCAAACGGCAAGCAGTCTCAGCGTTTTTCTATGAGACTGTATACAGTTTTTTGGTCAGGGTCCCCCCACCCATTGAGATATCCAAATCCAAAAGTTTGAATTGACGTATAAAGTCTAAAGCAACTTGGCTTGTTCTCAAAGATCTTTCTCTGACTTGACAATCCAAGAACACTTTGATGTTCCTACAAGCAAGAGTGCAAAGTTGTACACTTTTTGGTTGATATACAATCATAAACTATGCAAAGTCTCAAGTCACGGGTTAATGTTACAGTAACAGCTTCAAGGAGCAGTGTTTCTACTACATTTCGACAAACCCAACAATTTACTGACCTGGAAAGTGTTTTAACAAACCCAATAACACAAACATTATACAGACAGATTCTTAGGAACAAGAACAACTTTGAAGAGTTTTGTTTGAACCAAGTGGATAACTCAACCAAAAACACATTATAACCTTCCAACAGTTCAAATGATTGGAATGGGAAAAGTATAAGAACCATGACTTTACTGATTCAAAATTCAGGAATCTTTTCAAGTACAAACCCATGTCTCCTAGATTCCTTGGTAGAATACTCTTTATACCTGCAGAAACTGCGAAGAGCTGGATAATGGCATCGGACTTAGCATAGTTCTGTATACAATGTCTGAAAAGGCACGGTGAGAAACAAAAACCGAAGGCATGCTATATCTTTAAGAAGGATACAAAATTCGTAATACATTGAATCAAAACAGCTCAAATGCGGCAAGAACGTCTTCATAATTCTCTAGAGACCATTATCGTGAGCACTATATGTAGCTAGAAGGATGCAAAGTACATGTTTCAGCTACGGCCATTGTAATTTGATATGTCCGTAAATGAGCACAAGAATACCATAACAGAAGTAAGACCATAAGCCAAAGAAACTCGAATCTGGACATTATGCACCTAAAGAACAAAACAGAGTATCTGGACAGTTGGTTCCTTGATACCGGACCAAAAGCAATCGACTTTGGAAGAGTCTCATGTAGAAACTTTGACATAGTAAGACTGATATATACGAGGATCAAGTTCTCGGAAATTTAGTTGAAAACCATTGATCATATGATAAATAAATGGACAAGAATCAACAGTTCCTTTTAACCTTTTGCTAGCACTCAAGATAAAGAAAAGAACTCTCAAAACTTCTTCTTCTTTACTCGTTCTTCCAAGCGTACAGAATCAATGAAAACCCAAAACTTTGAGGTTTCGAGCTCGTAGGGACTTGCGTGAAAGACCAGGTCTTTTCAACAGATTGACAAGTCCTGAACATAAACACGGCATTTCCTGGTGACGATGGCAGCCCGAAGAACCAACTGTGCACATCCCAGAGAACTTCCACAGAGACCCTATTGACGATGATGGTATCGTTGCCACGGAACTTCCAGTGTAGCCGCTTCACCTGCATCAAGGCCTTTCCATCAACACGAACGATGAGGCAAGGATCACTGAGACTGGTGTCACATTCGATCAAGAGATCATGGGTTTTGCCATCACCGGAAAACTGAGCTTTTGTTGCAAACGTTCTCTTACCAAAGACATGCTCTTTCTTGGCAATGAACACAGCACCCAGAGATGAAGAAGGCGCGGCACTAGTCTTTTTGAAAGCTTCTTTCTTCATGTCACCAAGAAGAAGAGCCATTTCTTTGTCCACAACAACGCCTACATAGAACCCTCCTAAAGGTTCAGGGCTGGATCCGAATTTTGCAGACGAGAGATCCCAGAAAACATCGATATTACAGGAGTATGCCTCTAGATTCTTGGACCCTTTTCGTTTAGTGAAGAGCCACGGCTTAATCTCGACTTTACACAGACTTCGGTTGCAAGAATCATCAACTCCCACGGTCACACACTGACCCATCAGATTCTTAGTCCACGTGACAGTGATTAAGCAAGTCCTACCTCGGATGCGGCAACGGTAGATACAGACGACCAGATTCTGGGCATTTTTACCGGCGGTCGAGGAAGACGAATCCGCAATCTGAACACCACTTTCACCGGAGCAAGAAGGAAAATCCCTCATTTCTTACAGAATTCCAATTCCAGACTCTCTCTCTCTCTCTCTCTCTCTCTCTCCGGAATTTCAGCAAACACCTTGTGGCCAATCTGCTAAGAAGATTAAACGCCGCGAATTTGCTTATCATATTGAGATAGATAAGTAAGGGGAAACGTAAAATGAAAAGTGTCAGAATTTACCTGGAACTGATGAGTTTCATCAAAGAAAGAGAAACCCAATCTCAAAAATGCATAGAAACCAGGAAAACGTCAAGAGATTTAATCTGGGTTTTCTCAAATCGATCCAGTTTCTCCAAGAAAATGCATCGACCAAGGAGGAAAAGAAGTTGGAGAAAGCCTGAGACTCCGGGAGGGAGAGAGAAAAATGCAAAGGCAAAATCGCCAAAGTAGAAGGGAATGTGTGCTATCAGTCAATAAGACCGAAACAGACAAAAAGGAGACTTCGTTTCACTGTCGAGTTATATTATTCAAACGTTGGATAATTACCGATTTTAATTTTGTTTTAGTACTAAATACGAATTAATTCGGCGGAAAACGACTGTAAGACTAAAAAAGGGACAAAATAAATTTACCTTTTTAGATGTGTTGTAACATTTTCTTTATCTCTATAATTATCTCACAATATGTTGGACTATTTAAATATTTAAGTGAACTTTTATGCAAATTTTTTGCAAAATTATGACATGTTTTTACTATTTTCAGTTTTGTCTCGTTACTCTTGATTTTTATTTTATTTACCATAAAAATAATTTTGGTATTCGGAAGCATGGAAGGAGTGGTCAACAATTCAGTTCACACGTGTGCAATTTCCATGTGTAACTGTCGTTCATTTACTGCCCACAATCGAGCCCATACTTTTTCTAATTTCTTGGGCTTTCTCTTAGGGTTTGATTAATTCCACAGTTTTTAATCAGTAATCAATCACTAATCAGATGAGAAATGAGAGTACCATTTCAAATATATACTTAATTATATATGGTTGGAAGAACTTAAAAAGTTGAGACAAAGTTTAGACAAGTGGTGGAACGTCTACCCAATTTACCCAAATTTTGCTATTGCGAAAGTCTTTGAATTCTAACTATCATTAAGGTTTTCATTTATTTTTCTTATTGAAATTTTGGACCGACCTGTATTAAGCTAGGTCCCAGCTTAACATTATTTTCTTGGGATATGATTCTTTTATCGTAGTTTCATTTTCGTTATTAATATTATTGTTGTAGATATTATCTGTTATATCATCTTGATTATAAAGATACAATAATAATTCGTCTCCCTACCAACTTCGAGTTACGGATATCTAATCTCAAAAGAGGAAACAAATTTGCCAAGAGTTTAAAAAAATTAATTTGGCGATTAATTTTTTACGTATAAGAAATATCGTTTAGTTAGACAAAATGATTACTTTGTTGTAGCAATATGTTAGTCATACACAGTAACACATATGATATATGTATATGTTTTCAGTATTATATATTATAATCTATTAAAAGTAGAACTAAATAATATTTTCGTAAATTTGTTGTGTTTAAAAAACTCTGGTTTAAGTAGAACATGCAAAATATAATTTCATGAAGGAGATAATTTCTTGCGTATAAATTGGGCATGGGCTTTTTCAAATAGACCAACCCATAATTTATTCTCTTTTTTTTTGCACAGCCCATAATTTATCCTGGTTCTCATTTCTTCAGATAGGTTCATGGATAAAACTAATGCAGCGAAAAATGTGGAAGAGGAAACAGCTCCGCCGCTCTTCAGTGGCAATGTCGCAACTCGGAGAGGAATTGGTAGAGGATGAGATTCTGTGTCGCATTCCGGCTACGTATCTGAAAGGATTGGGATCTACCTGTAAACGATGGAACCGTTTGTTCAACGGTGATGAGAGATTCGCAAGAAAGCACACTGACAAAGCGGCGAAGCAGTTTCTGGTTCTGACGTCGACGAGTGCCCACCGTGTTTATCCGACAATCGTCAATCTGGACGGAACAGTTCCATCTGTAGAGCTAAAAACTGAGCTTAGCCTGGTCGATCCGCATTCAAAGGATTCAGCTCAATTCGATGTAGGTAATGTGTTTCACTGTGACGGCTTCTTGTTATGCACCCACGGAGACATAGAGATATCTA